CTCTGCTTTTGGAGGATCGACATTTTTGTCACACAGATCTCAAAGATGGAAGTTTTCCGCGAATTCAACATATGAAAGAAAATTTTGAACAAAATGATGTGGGTATGTGAACTGAGCGTTCATTTAATTGAAGTTCACCAAATTGATGGTTGCATTGAAAAATAATAAAGAAAACACGAAGGGGTTGAAAAATCTAGCATTGAGTCCAAACACCTCAAAGAATTTATATCAATAATTTTAGAAAGCTTATAACGCAGTCATTAAAGGTGATGAAAAGTTGGTTGACGTCTTGTGTTTTGCGGAACTGAACGGTCTGTCGACCGGTGTGGTTGAAAAATTTTTAAAATGAATTTCAAGATCTCTAGTTTTTTTGGCAAAAAGTTTTCATAATTCGTAACTCGACTCCAGAGATTCAGACATACAAACCAACTTAAGGTTATTCTAGTCTAGAGATCCTCTACCTGCGGGGAAAATATCGGCTCAAAAGCGATTAAACACGGCGAGAGGTTCCTTCATTAGTACCACTTTCCCAGTAAACCTTATTCAATATACATTCAAGGCATTTCGTTTTTACTGACGATGACATAGATCAACAAGCAGCAAAGTATCTCACTTGTTTGGGCAGGATTTGAAGCTATTGCCGTGTTAGATAGTGCAGTAGTAGCAGGTTGAACATTGGTTTGAACTGATCCGATTGGCGCATTTGTAGCACCTAAAAGTAAGGTGTGAATGCAGAATGTTTTTGAAGAATTAAACGGCTTAATAGAACACAAAGGTTCAACGTTATATACACTGTGACTGATCACGTTACAGCACAGGCGAAATAGTGTTTTGAGCAGCTTTAACTCTATCAAATTGATTACATGAGCTTTGACTTTGACATTATCGGTTGTCAAATAAAATATTTTTTAATGGATGAACGCTCAAAGATAGCAAGTCTCTCTTACAGGCTCTTTTTATTACTCTTTAGATCTTACTGCGGATAATAGTTTTTAAGCTAGCTGTACAAAAGTTTGATGGCATCTGTTATAAAATTTACGTACCCCCTGCACCTTCACTTGATCCAATTACCGGTACATCAGTACCCGGCGCTCCTCCGAAGGGACCAATACTAATACCTCCTAACAAAAAATACACCAATGGTGAATGAAATTAGTGGACTGAAATAATGGTTGATTTTACCTGAAAATTGCACTGAAATAAATGTTAATTCAAATGTTATTATTAGACCATTAGGCAGTACCAATACAATTGATATTTGAATTATAGTTGTTACTACTTGTTCAAAATGTTGTTGCTGTTTGTTGCGACAACTAGCTGTACATCCTCGATCGTAATTTTGATGGCAACCCATGCGCAATCGATTTGAAAAATGATTTTGTCTTTTGGAAAGCAAACTGAAACAAAAAAGGAAATAAGGTATGGATACACTCTCTATAACAAACATTTACTTACAAACGCTTTCGTCGACTTGAAGTGCCGACACTAGAGATACTGTCAATCGTAAGTGTACCATTAGCTAATCCTAATTGTTTTTCTAACTAAAAGACAGCCAAAAAATATTGTAAGTAAGATTATTCTAGAACTATTAGAAAACATCATTGAGACAACGAATGAGAAAACAACTTTTAAGATAGTAGTATTTTACTTGTCTCGCAACAGCGGCATTGTTTGACGATGGAAACGTTCCAGTGAATACGCTATTAGCAGTAGCTGGTGTACTGTATACAATAACAACTGGTCCTGATTCTTAACATAAAGTTGAACATAGAAATGAGTATTTATTTCAGATTACTCCAGGCTTACGCTGTGATTGTAAATCGGTATTTGCACCTTTTCTTGGTAAATAAACTGGAATGAGAGCGAGAACTATTGTAGCTGCTACCAGAAAACCTACTAAGGCCAAGCAGCAAATAGCAAGCAAAGGCCATAAGCCATTTCTTAAACAAGAAAAAAAGAACGTTATAGGTCATGCTAACTCAATTGTCTGATCCTTCACATGTCATTTATAAAAGTTCTGTGTAAACAGAAACAGTTATAATCAGACAAGGTGTTTTGACCTTTTACCTGCTCCTTTGCGCTGGAACTGCAGCGATGGGTACTTGTGGAGTATACATTTACTGTCGCTAGTAAAATTGAATGCAATGTGAACTTGAGATTTCTCTGCGAATACAATAAATAATGCATCATTCTCTAACTTACCTGTCCTACCAAAATAAGTGCAGGAAAAGATTTACTACTATGTATGCGTTCTCCTTGTTTAACTGCCTTCTTGTACGTCAATATCTATGAAATTTATGCCTTTTTTGAGTGTATTCGACCATAACATCAATGAAGTTTTTTTCCTAATCCCTGACTAATATAAATCTTGTTTACTTTATGTCAATACCTTTAGAATCAATGGATATTGACATAGACAGTTACACAAATTATAAATGATATCTAGCGCAGATAGATAAATGAATAAATTTGATAAACAAGTCCAACATTATCTCTCTCCTCACGAATAATTGTCAGTCAAATAAGTATGCGCAAATGCGTGGTACAAAGGACATAGATCATTTGAATTCCGCGTTAAAAACGTGAGTTAAATACGCCTATACCCAGCAGTAGTCTTCCATAGATATGACATCACAATTATCTTCGAAATTAATACATTGCATTATGTGCATAACCAGGTGCTTAAATCAGGTTTGGGTTTGTATCATTAAATGCGAGCACAATAAGACAGAGATAACAGCCCTTCTTCGAATCTTATACCAACTCGCGAACGCTTCAACAAATTCATCTAAGATTTGTGATAATGAGCATTTTTAAAGACGGACTTGATTTTCTAAAAACATGACCTGATTCTGTTGTATGATGTAGACAATAGCGTTTGACCGAACAAAGTTTAACATATCTACTACTACCATATGTAACTTTGATTAATAACAATAACGTCGGTAAGTAAATGTTTCAGAAAACTGCACCAGTGATAATAGTGCCGTTTTTAAGTGCCGGACTGTGAGGAAGTTTTCTTATTTTAATCATGGATTCCATTTGTATACATTACGTTCATCACGTATTATATGAGAATATCATAATCGCATTACTAACTCAAACTCGGAGAGAAGTTTTTCGGCACGGTTCTGAGCAAAAGTGCACACTGTGCACGAGTTTAATATAACTAGATTTCTTTTAGTTTTCTGATAGGTGCCCATATTTTTGAACATGACGTTTACCAAAAGTTTTCATTAACAATGTTTGAAAATATTGCATGACCGCCGCAGATAGCGGAAACCGTGTTTAACTTTTTCACTCAAAAACGTTCATGCTCAGAACTATCACTCAGGTTTGTAGGTCTAACAAACACAGTCTTTATTGTGACAACAAAGAATCAACCATTTCATGGTCAACCAGAGAGCCAAATTATCTAAAAATTTAACCCTCCTCTCGTCGGCACGATCTGTACTTGACAAAAAGAGCAATCCCGTTCTCAAAATGTCATTTTTCAAAGGATTTGTGGTGGACCATGAATTAATCATTAGTGGTCATCGAACAAAGTGCGCATGTTTCTCGTTCCATTTTATTCGGAAAAAGATATTTGTATCTGTAATATGTAATGTGCAATCCTATGCATCGTGAAGCACAGTCGACTCTTTACACAGGTAACAATAAAATATCTTAGAACCATAACTGATGTATTATCGCTGCTACTCAAACATTTTAAATAATGTCTAATGCGTCTTTTGATAGATATTAAATAAATCTACACTTATGCTAATATATTAATATCTATGATCACTAGCATATCTCACTGAACGAATTTATTTTTCCAAGGCAGTATTTTATTTTCTTTACCTGTAGACAACCGTCTGTAGTGTTCGTTATAAACACATATACATTCTTTTGTCTCTATGAATAAAACGAAATAAAATGAATGCCACACAGCTACGGTAATGAGAGGTCTCTCTTCCTCTTTCTCCTTGACGAACAGTCCAGATTTTAGAGTGTGGTTCACATATGCGAACTAAAATATTTGCTTAAACTAGATGAGTGCTACTGTAGTGATGATTTGCGCTAAATAGATAAAATCTAAAGTGTCAATTAACAGAAACTAATACCATACAACTTTGTTACTCGTTAGTTTTCCTCGTAAATGTAATCAGGTATTCGAAAACTATCCTGACAAAAACAAAAATTCTAATACATCGAAGCAATGAAAGATTATTGATGTGATAAAAAATCTGAGATTTTGAAGTAGAAAAAGAAGGCGATTCACAATTGACTTAAGATCCGCCAAGATAATCGTTCAGTAAATGGTTTGATTAAACTTGGAGAAATAATAATGAATTTTACCTATCACAACTAGCTATATTTCATAAAAGCGTATTTGATCGAAAGATTATCGTAGCTCTTAAAACTGAATATAAACACAAAAATCTTTTAGAAGATACTCTGCGTCAAAATAACCTTGGACTGATAGAAATCCTACGCTTCCTAAATTTATGAGATTCGAGACTGTGTCTTTTTCATATAGGCGGTTGCTGTGCTTATATGTAGTGTAAGCAAATATTTTAGTTCACATATGAGAACCACACTTACTTTAAACGCTGGATTGTTCGTTAACGATAACAGAACTGTGTATTGATGAACATTTATTCTGCACGCAGCCGGAATTCATCAATGATGAATTAGTTATTATCACACTCTTCAGAATTTTGCCAAGTCAATCTCACAGCTGTCATACAGTTTGCAGAATTTTAACAAGGATCAATGTCACGAGTTATTTATTAGCTAGAATTCATAGCGTCTAATGTCGAAGTTTTTCCAATATTAGACAGAGAAAATGGATTGATCAGTGGCGTGTGCTTGTCAAAAATTATTTGTGCGAAAGAGTCAGAAAGACGATCTTGTCGACAGCGCAAAGGAAATGTGTGCGTTGATGGTTGGGAAGATGAGTGTGAGTGGATTTAAGAAAATGAACCATCAAGTGCTAAGAATTCATGGTAGTATATCGAGGTTCCAGCCTAATGGTGTCAGCTAAAGGAAAAAAAATTATTATCAATCTACGACCTTCAAACCTATAGCACCTACACCTTGTGCTTGATCATTTGTCTTCCGTCCTTTCTATCTTCTCTTTAGCTCACTGAACCATGAATCTGTACTAATCATCTATTCTTCTATCAACTATAGATGACAGAAAAAGGAACAGAATATTTCCTCATAATTCACTTTTTTCGCCATCTTTCACCATTTTTAGGGCTATGATAGTCTCCTGTAAGTCAGAATAGACAACTCTGTTGTACAAATATCAAATGCAACTGAAGTACATCGAATCAGCAAATGAGTTGTTTATTCATTACACATAACTAATTCATTAATTAGTTGAAGTAGAAATAAAGATCCTAGTGATGACACAGCGGCCTAAGCACATTTACCACTGAAATGGAAAAGTGACGTATAAATATAAATCGACGAGCAATTATCTTGTAACCTTGTTCTATCCGAACTCAAACATCATTTTATTTATTCAAGATATTCGAGTCATGTTTATTGACAAGATCACGATATCTGTTTTTCATCTTCATTTTTTAACGAAAAGAATAATGTTCACATTCGGATATGAATATGTGACATACAGAAAACGAAGGTTTACACGCTAGAATTCTAATACATCCACGTGTTCTTTTTCTTTCATGTAGGTGAAAATGTATCTGTACAGCATACACATTCATACCGACACCTTTTATATAAAATATATCTTTTATTACTATCGAAAAATATTTGAAATATACATACCTATCCAATTTCAGACAAACATGACTTAATATAATATCCTTGAAAATTATAAAAAGTGGAAGAATAATAGCATACTCTTCCAGAATTCTAATAGCATTTAGCCATAGTCTGCTGGTGTTGACAACATTCGACAAAATCTATGACAGTTGTGAGAGAATTCTTGTAAAATTCTACTTGTCTTGTCAAAATTTTGAAAAGATTTTGCAAAGTTCTGACAGCGTTTAGGTAAATTCTGTTGGTTTTCGCAAAAATTACGCGAGGTCTGCGACGGTTGTGAGAATATGCTTCAAAAAGTTCTGCTATTACTAAGAAAACTCTACTTGACTTCGCGAAACTCTGACAGCATTTACCAAAATTCTGACAGCTTTTTTTTGACAAAATTTGTGACAGTTGTGATTATTCACAGAATTCTTGTTGACATGATAAAACTCTGACATAGTTTAACAGCATTCTGCTGCTTTCCGACAAAATTCTGGAAAATCTGTGATATTTATAGAATGTTGCTAAATGGCATCAGAATTTTCCAAAATATATGCAGAATTTTGCGAAGTAAAACAGGATTATGTGAGTAACAGTAGAGTTATGCAAAAATATTCTCATAAATGTTCTTACATAATTCTGCTTGATTTAGAAAAATTTTGATAGCGTGTAATAAAATTTGATGGATTCAAGAAAAGTCTAGGAAATCCGTCACATTTGTGCGAATATGTTTGAGTGATTCTGCTGGTTTTGACAAAATTTGCCGAAATATCGTTCTGCTATTATTCACATGGTGCTACTTAGACTGGCGAAATTCTGAAATGATTTTGCAAAAGTCTGATAGCATTTAGTATGATTCTGCTTATTTTTGAAAAATGATGCATAGTCTGTGATAGTTGTCAGACTATTTTTGCATAATTCTGCTATTACTCACGTAACTTTGTTTGACTTGAGAAAATTCTGAAAAGATTTTTACAAAAGTCTGAGAGTTTTTCCCAAAGTCTGCTGGTTTTTGCTAAATTTTTTTGAAATCTGTGACAGTTGTGAGATTATTCCAGCACGATTCTTTCATTATTCATATTATAATTTTATTATTTATCTATTTATAAATAATTAATCGGTATTCAACTCTCGTTCTATTCATGTCTAAATTTGCATTTAACTTGAGGACGATATTATACTGAATAGAAAATACACGATCATGTCGTCGTTGAGATAGGCTGCAAATTGCTTTACTTCTTGTTGCATTAGAAAACGCTTTGTAGTATAAATAAAAATTTCTTAGTTACTGTGTCTGTTTGTATGTAAGCGCTAGTTCTGTGAGAAAGAAGTCACACAAAATTCTAAAAGTCTT